TTACTTACCATGATCTAATTAGGAACAAGGGTAATGTGAAGTGAGTGTAATTTTACCAAGATTCAATTTCCCAAGTTGTATTTTGAGTGTTAAGGATTATGTTTTTACAAATTAACAGGCTATAATAGCACAAGAGGTTTCAGATCTAACTGGAAAAAGAAAGAAAAAAACCAACTCAAAAACCAATAACCTCTCCCCCCAAAAAAAACACAACAACAAAACCCAATAGAATTAACCTTTGACTATCAGATAAAACAGCTTTACCTTCCTTCCTCAAAATGTTAAAGAAGTACTAGCTAAGAATGTGTAATGTCAAAGCCAATGATTAATACATACATATAAAATTTTGTGTTACTTTAAACTTCTATTTGACCATCTCCTGGAGGGATAAATACTATGTTTTCTTAGGAGGCAGCTGGAAGTGCACACACGTAATAGTTCCTTCTATTACACAGTGGTTAAACACTGCTCTGGGGCAAGTGGGATAATAAAACCATGTTATTTCCCTGTGTAGTTTCCTATAATGCAAGAATGCCCAGAGGAAATGCTCACAGAAAGGTGGTTGACAGTAATTACTAACCCCGCCCCCAGACATTGGTTGGAATTAAGTGGGGTGTCCCTGAGTGACACATCAAAGTAGTCCAAAGTCTTATTTTTCTCTAGAGCTTTTGTATGTCAGCAGCTTTATATGTCTGACAATCCAATTCTCATCACACACAGTGAGCTTGCGGAGGGGATACCAACAAACATCAGTCCGTGTTGAGGATGCCTAGAGGCAAAGCAGGTGCAAAAACTGTCCACTATTGCTGAAGGCAAACTAACAACCACTGGTCTTCACTATGACCTCTGGTATTCCTAAAACCCTGAAAGATTATCCAAAGAGCAAGTCTATTTCTTGTTTTATGGTACTATTTACCAACTGTTTTTAATGTTAGAATTTCATGTGCTATTGAGTCGCTTGCTAATCATGGTGTCCCAATGTACAACAGCTCTGAACCTTGCTCTATCATGAGCCAACGTTATCATTTCTCACATAACTACCCTTATTACCCTAGTCACTGAGTCAATCCATCTCATCAAGAATCTTCCTGTCTTGGGCTGTCCCTCCACCCTCCCAAACATGACGTCTCTCTCCAAGGACTGATCGATCACTCCTTGCAAAATGCCCCAAGTATGTCAGATGGAGCTTCAGAATCCTGGTCTCCAAGGAGCAGCCTGGTTTCACCCTCTCTTGGACAAACCTGTTTGTTCTCCTCGCAGTCCATGGAATATTCAATACTGTACTCTGGCACCACAGGTCAAAGGCATCAATTCACCTTTTATCATCTCTGGTCATTGTCCAGCTTTCTGATGCAGAGCACGTAATTGTGTAGACCATGGTCTAGATCAGGCGCTCCTTAGTCTCCAGACTGATATTGCCCTTCAGGACTTTGGAGCGGTCCCTGACAGCAGACCTTCCCAATGCAATTCATCTTTTAATTTTCTGGCAGCTGGTACCAAGAGGGTTCATGGTGGAGACAAGTAAATTGAAGCTGTTAGCAATCTCAAGTTTCATATATGTGGAAAAAATAAACACCGTTTTTATAGAAGTTATCTAGTTTCATTCTCAACTTAAAGACTTGGCATAACTCACAAGGAATTCCCCCATGTTACATGGTAAAATAGTGACAAAGTCAAGACAAGGATTCATTTCTTATCTCTCACTGATTGATAGCTACCTACTGAAATATTACAAAATGACATATTCCCAAGAACAAATCTGTTTCACTGGGAACTTAATCTACATAATGTGTACTCTTAACTTTCACTGATATTTGGGGAAACAAACCAAGCAGCGCTTGTGGTGCTGTGGCTAAAAATTCAGCACTAACCAAAAATGTGGGCAGTGTGAATGCATCAGCCACTTCATAGGGGAAAGATGAGTTTGTTTCTATAGAGATTTACACTCTTAGAAATTCCATGGGCAGATTTTTTTCTGTTCTACAAGGTCTGTTTGTCAGAAATGACTAAATTAGAATGAGTTTGAGCTGCTGAGTGAATTCACTGTATTCCTATAAACCAGAACTCCAAACCCACTGCCACAGAAGTTATTTGGACTCACAGAAAACTGTCTCATGGGCCTTTCAAGGCTCTAAATCTCTAAGGAAGCAGAAGACCATGGCTTTCTTCTGAGGAATTGGATTTGAACTGCTGACCTTTTGGGTGGAAGCCAAATGCTTTCATTGTTGTGCCACTGGGGCTCTTTCACCCTTTTCTCTTAATAGCTTTTAATAATGCTGTATAATGCTATCACAACAACACAAGAAGAACAAACGGTGTTCTTTAGAATACTGTCTGGGAGTGCTTAGGACCTATTCCAAGAGTGAGAAAAATTGATAAAAGGCAGAGGATAAAAAGAGGCTACATCTCCTTACAGTAATCTGTTCCAATACACTCAATAATTACTAATTTGAAGAACTTGAATAATTCAACAGAAAATTGTACCACATTAAAATAAAATTATGTCTACTATCAAACCGATCACAGCAGAAATAATATTAATGAATGGATATAGAACATGTGTAAAAAGAACCACCGCCACAAATTCCACTTACAAACCAAAATCCAATGCCACTGAGTAAATTCTGGCTCATAGCAAGTAACCCTCCACTGTGTTGCCAAGGCTGTAAATCACTGCAGGAGAAAGTCTCATCTTTTTTTCCTGTGCAGCAGCTAGTGGATCTAGTCCATCTACACTTTGGCTAGTGGCCCACAGGTAATGCACTCCACCACCAAGAGCTCATTAAATAACTGTGTAGATGTCAAACAAACTATCAATGCAAATTCTACAGCCCTTCTAATACCAAATCCTAAAGAATCATAGTAGGCTTTTCCTTCTGTCTTCTGAGACAACTGTGGGAAGATATCTAAGCTGTCCCCAAATGTGCAATGTAGCCAGTCTAATAGCATCAGCCATTCAATGAGGCATCTGGCAATTAAGACTGAAAGGTAAGGAGTGAAGACAGCCTGTCTTGCATAAAAGAATTAGGAGAGCATCAGAAAATAAAAAAGGTAGCAAACATTAGCATCTAGCCTTGAAAACAGTACACAGACTTCTTAAATCAAAAGCCTATTCTTTAGAGTGTAAAAAAGGTCAGTCAACAGGGGTTTTTTTTAGTTTCATTCACACACACATAGATTGAAGTCATTTTTAGTAAGACTCTCTTCTAACCAAGATAACAAGGATTATCCATCTCAATCTTTTTCTTTTTATAGACTGTGTGTCTCGCAGTAACTGTACATATTTAGAAGTTTTTCACCAAATGGTTCCTTCCTGGTTTATAATTTTAACTAAGCCATTTTCAATATTGCATATGCTATTTTTAGGCTGGCTTGCTGCTAGGAGACAGAGGGTGAGTGGGTAAGAATGGGAACGAGTCAGAAATCCTAAATGCAAATGCCCAAGCGATTAAAGGCTATGGGAGAGACACTCACCAGCCTTGCTTGCAGGTGGGGAGAAATGATCATTTTAAAAACAGGCCAAAGTCTATCAGCAAGGAAGGTGTTTTACCTTTTGATAATTACTAGAAATTAAATTTCCCACACTGTATTTCAAAAAGCAGACTTTTATAAGTTTATTAAATCTGAAAGCAGGAAATAAATGGATGTTTAATCACTCAGCACATTCTTAAGAACACTAACAACCTGATAAGAGTTTTAGACAGATTGATTATCACTTGAGTTTAAGAGTTTCACATCCCTGCCTCCTCCCCACAATCAAAAATTTAGATTACTCTGTGAGTTAAAAAAAATAAATAAGAGTGGTGTAGTGGCCAAAGAGCTTGGCTGCTAATTGAAAGGTAGGTAGTTTGAACCCACCAGCACTCTTTAGGAGTAATGATGTGGCAGTTGGATTCTGGAGAGTTTTACTGCCAAGGAAACCCTATGAAATGGTTTACTCTTTCCTGTAGGGTCATTGTGAGTCAGAATCACCTTGACAGCCAGGGATTCAGAAAGGGTTGGGTTTTTTAATTTATTTTTTTTCCTCTACTAGTTTATTTACAAAATTCAAACACAAATTTGAACAAATTCTTTCCATTTGCCTCAACCCCTCACCCATCAAATTATACAACCCAATGATTAATCCCCCCTCCCCCCTGCATGTCCAGATCCCTCTGCCTCGACTCTCCCATCCCTCCTGGATCCTATACTCATTCTACAATAACATTTTTATAGAATATTTATCCTTGTGGTATGGAGTTAGTTCACTCAGCATAATGCTCTCCAGTCCCTCCTAAGGTAGGTCATAATTTACAAAGTTACTGCTCCTGCGTGCTGCATAGTATTTCATTGTGTGAATGTACCATAATTTCTCAAAAAAACCCACAACAAATCAAAAGCTTACTGTATTTTTGCACAAATAACACACTTACTGTGCTTGTCTGCAAAGAGCTTACTTCCCACCTCCACCCAGGTATTTATGTAAGTGCACCGTGCTAATTTTTTACAGCAACATATTTTTAAAAAATGGCACATCTACTGTTATGACACTATGTTCTGAGGGAGGGAGCTACTGCAAGTAGAAAAGCTGAGAATTATTTGCATAAAAAGTAGGGTCATAAGTATCAGGAGATAAAAGAAAAATACATCAACCACTTAACCACAGAGGCAATGAATATTTAACTTGAAAACTTTCCACTGGTAAACTACATGGTTTTAACCACATTTGAGCTGTGTCCTGATTTGATGATAACGCACAGGGCTGTTTGTACCATATTGCCAGGGCCAGATTAGAGACCTTCAGCAACATAGCAAAGAGTCATTAGGCAGAGCCTCTACTTCACAGGCAACTTCCCAAGAAAACAATACCAAGGTACGAAATACAAAATGTGCACGATACTGAATCAAACAGTTGCTTTCTAGATTGGGGAAGAAAAAAATCCTAAAAAGTAGAGCACTTCTAATGATATCAAATGGCATGAATTAAACCTGCATTTCATATTATAATTAAAATAACTCACCCATATGCAATTCCTGCTATGGTGCACTTCTTAAACTGCATCACGTTGCAGGTCAGAGTACCAGTTTTGTCAGAAAAGATGTATTTAACCTAAAAAAGTTCCAATTCCTCATTAAAATTTCAATTCTTCATATGGGGGGGAGGCATCCTTAAAATTATACAGTTATTTATTTTGTAGCACTAAAGGGGTACCAGCTATTAATGGTTTTCTGCATTCATCAGAGAATATATTCAACTACTTTATTTCATATTTTGGCAAGGTATACTTTTACACACACACACACACGATTATATTGTTGTTAGTAGGTGCTGTTGCCCATATCTTTCAATATTGCAAACTGAGCCTTTTTTTTCCCTTTAGTAAAGCTGTATTTATCTTACTTGAGTGTCTAACTCTAGATCCCTGTGTATTTCATTATAATGAATACAATTCAGTAGAGTAAGTGGTTTGTCTTGGGAAGGTGACTTTTGAAATCTTGTGCTGAGTTCTTTAACTTATTTCTTCCTTTTGTTTACAAGTTTCAAATTATCTTCTGACATAAATTTTGGTCTTCTCATTATTTTCTCTTTTAAAGGATCTTTTCCTGTCTAGAGGAACATGCCCTTAATGTCATCTCACAACTTGTCTGGTCTCTAGTTATAAGTGTTCACTGTATCAAGTCTATTCTTTAGAAAGTCTCTAAATTCAGGTTAGATGTACTTTGTCTCTTAAGGGCCTGTTTTCATTTTCTTCAGCTTGAACTTGCATATGAGCAGCTGATAGTGCATTCCATGGTTGACCCAGAACTGTGCTGACTTAAGATTTTGAACTTATCTTTTTCCAAAAACGTAGTCCATTTGATTTCTTTCATTGTTCCATCCAATGAGGTGCATCCAAATAGTCTTTGTTTATATAAAACTATGTTTTTGGTTGTGAGTGCTAGGTAGTCATATACAAATCATAGCAACACTATGCACAACAGATCAGAACCCTGCCCTATTCTTCTCCATCCTCACAATCCCTGCCGTGCTCACGGCCACTGTTACAGCTACTGGGCCAGCTCATTTACTTGAGGGTAGCTCTCTCTCCCACTGACTCTGCACTTTCCCAGCATGATGTCTTTTGCCCAGGAAAGACCCCTCATGATAATACACCTACAATATTTGAGATGAAGTTTTACCATCCTTGTCTCCAAGGAGCACAATAGTTGCACTTCTCCTAAGACCGATTTGTTTGTTCTTTTGGCAGTTCATGGGACATTCAATAATGTTCACAAAAAATTACAGGCAAAGACTGTATGACAATGTTTTGAATAGTAAATAAGAACATATGCAAGCAAACATCTAAAAATTCTATCATTAGCAAATTACAAGTTGCAATACCACAGGCAGTACATACAACTAACCATCATACATACCATAAAACCCAAAAGAAACAAATGTTTGTAAGCATGGTCTGTCATGTATATAGGGATAGACAGAGAGTGAGAGAATGAGAGAGATACTGAGAGAGATAGAGTGAGATAGAGATGATAGATAGATAGATGATAGATAGATAGATAGATAGATAGATAGATAGATAGATAGATAGATAGATAGATAGATAGAAAGAGATGGAGATGGAGAGAGAGAGAGAGATGTCCTATACTAAACAGATTCTATGTCAGGGACTATATGTGCTATATTTATAACTCACAGAGTCAATACTTTACATACATACAGACTATATACACAAGACCTTCACTAGTTGTGTCTAGTACCTTTTATTTTGAGAGCAGTATCTGCTTTAAGTGGTGTCTTTACAACTTCATTTGCAATCAATTAAGACTAACAGCCATGCACTAGACTAGTCAATGCCTCAGGGATTTCTGGTGGTCTAGTGCCAAGAAGCTGGGCTGCAATCACGATGGCATGTGGTTCGAATCCACCAGCTGCTCCACAGGAGAAGGATGGGCAATCTCCTATGCAATTAACAGCATTTGAAAGCCTGACAGAGGGTCAGCTATGGGTCAGTTCTGACTCGATGGTTCACAACAACAGTCAATATATATTTTTCGTTTTCAAATAATGGAAAATTAAGTCCTATGAATTCATCCTAAATTGTCATGCAAGGCAGAAAGAAATCACTGTGAATAATGACTTACAATTCAAGACAGAAATAAGAAATTGCATTTACCTGGCCAAGTTCCTCATTCAGATTAGATGTGCGTGCCATAGCAGCAGTGTCTGTGGGTTCATAGTGCATATCAAGGTCCTTATTAAGGGGAAAAACAGGGGAGGAATAATCAAAGAAAGATGTATACTTGGATTCACCTAAGTATAAAGGATTAGATTAAGCTTCAAAACAATTACCTTCATTCCTTAATACATTAATGTTTAGTTGTTGAGTAAAATATATAAGTACTTTCTATCCTGCCCTATCTATATTATTTCTAGTGATTTCCTGGAAAAGTATTTAGTATATGATACTATAATCACATTAAGGGCAGAGCATAATGGAATCTAGACTACAGCATGTCTATCAAGCAATATAAGTTTATCAGTCTTCCACCATTTACTGGACCCATTGTAGGGATGGTACAGAATAGGATAAGGATAAGATCTATTGATCGAAGGGTCACTATGAATTGTATGCCAGTCAATGGTACCTAACAAAAACAATATTATAGGGATTAAATAAGAACACATGCCAAGTTGCTTCTATGGTGTTTGATGATGTTAGCCAAAATATCAGCAACTGAATATTGCTCAAATAATTAGAGTTCCAATTACTTTTAGGAGGGAATGCTAAAGAGATTTTGTCTGATACTACATTTGGACTAAGTTGTCTAAAAGAATTAACAAAGTTTCCTAAGCAAAGTTAAAAAAAACGAAGTCAAGAGGAATTACCTAACAACTTTTATCAGGAAATTTCAGAGCTAAATTTCTTGTACTGTATACATGTGGAAGTATATAAACAATTTTAAATTATCAGGAAAAAATAGTTTTCATTCAAATTTACATTTGTCTTACACCCAGTAGCAATAAAGTTTGATTATATTCTAAAAATATTTTTATATTATAAAAATTAGTATTTAACACTTTATTAGCAATACAGTGGTGTAACTGACTTATTTTCAAATGTCAAATGAAAAGGCTAAGCTCTAAATCAAAGCCAACCTCTCTCTCACATCTGTATTCTAGACTGATCAGCTTTTTCTCTGCAAACAACTGGATAGTATCAAAAGAGTGATAAGAATGGTGATTACTCTGAAACTGTATCAAATGGAGAGGGGGAAACTAAATGTGATAATATAACAGGCATGGCAGCTGAGTTCAAATGCCTTAATATAGAATTAAAGTTAAACAATCTCATAGTATAGACTCATTGGGCAGACCAGAATGAAGGGAAGCTGTTACTAATTTAATTTCATACATCAAGAATTTGCCTTATAAGTGAAGGCTAGAAAATCAGTCTTCTGCCAGCCACCTTATAAATTCCATGTAATTAGATAGGTGATTGAAAAAATTCTATGGATTTCATCCAAGACAGCTTTACATTATTATTTCACACTAATGTTATTTTTAAAAATCCAAACCAACAAACGTTACTTTACATTCAGAACAAGTTATCTTACTAATTCTCTTAATGAAAAACTTTCAAATGAAATAATATAAACCTTTACCACACATTTTTTTTTCAGCAATACATCTTCTGCACAACAGAAGCTATGCTGCAGCTCATCTGATATTTCAAAATTATGATGATTTTTTTAGCAATGAATTAACTTAGTGACAGTTAAGAGGAACCATTTACAGATGACAATGAGCAATTGCAAAACTTACAGCAGCTATATTTTTTGAATTTGTAGTATGGTTCTTATAAAAAGATTTCAAAATTATTTTGAAAAAAGAAACACCCATAGATAGTATTAAAAACTTAAATTCTCTTACACATCAAGCTTGAAGGCTTACTTTACAGAGTTAGGCCTCCACTTATTTTTATTTTTGTAGAAGTAAACATACTAGAAGGGTAACACACTGGTCAACAAAACTAGATATTCCTCATATTTTCCCAAAATTTAAAAAAAAATGTTTTAACTAAATAAATTTAAGGAGAAAACTTTAACCACAACTGATATTGCTTATAATGTAGCATAATAAGTCTCACAGATAGGTAAAACTGATAAACAACTTGGTAGGTATAATTAAGAAATTTTTCGGTGTGATTAAAAGACTATCCTAGAAAAAAAGACAGCATGTAAGCTTATGATGATAAAATATAGTAGTAATTCATATTTACCCAATTTATGAAGTAGGCCTGGGTAAATTTCACCACTTCTAATGTAACCAACAAGCTGATAGGAATGAGATTGTTGAAGAGGATGATAAAGGTCAAGAAATTCAATCCAAAATTGTTAGCGCCACCATCTGTTGGAAGAAGTGGAGGAAACGTTATTTATTATTTTAATTTACACTGACTAGAACTTGAGTATACAAAAATTTTCTAACAACAACAACATCATCATAAAATATTTCTAGATCATCTGGGAGGCAAAATAAGTTGGTAATACATCTTCAGCCTCAAATATATTCTTCAAGATGGAATATTATTTGTATCCAATGTATTGTTATTCTTTTTAAGAATCATGAAACTGAAAGCACTTCAAAATATTACAAGTTGAAAGCCTCTTGGTATCAAGGTAAGAAGTGTGGACTTAAAAATAGACATTTTAATTCCGTTGAATCCCTTTTATAGAAATTATTGAAAATTCACTTTAAAGCACACTTTGAAAGTGAGCAACAGCATCAAACCCAACAGAAATTCCATGTTCTTCCTCCTCAATAATGAAAATATAAAAGTTCAATCAGATATACTATCACGTATTTAGAGACACAAATTTATGAAAACAATAAGAGCTCAAGAAGCTAAGGAGGTGAACAAAAGATTACAAAGGGCAGCTTGGGAAGACAAAGCAAAGCATTAGAAAATCTAAAGGGGTGAACACACTCAACATTTCAGAAGACAAAGGAACTGAAGAACAAGTTTAAGCCTCAAGTTGCAATACTTAAGGATGCTATGAGCAGAGCATGAAATGATCCAGGAAGCATTAAAAGAATTTGGAAGGAGTAAAAAGAGTCACTATACCAAAAAAATTGGCCAACACAAGAATTTCATGAAACAACATATGATCAAGGTGTGATGGTGATGAAGGAGAAAGTTCAAGTTGCTCTGAAGTAATTAGCAAAAAACAAGGCCCCAGGAATTGATAACATAGCAATTGACATATTTCAGTCAACAAATGCTGTCCTGGACATGCTCACCAGGTTATGCGAAGAAATCTGGAGGACAACTACCTGGTCAACTGATTGGAAGAAATCTGTATTTATTCCCATTTAGAAAAAAAAAAGTGATCCAACAGAGTGTAGAAACTATAAAACAATATCACTAATATCACACACAAGCAGGATTCTGCTGAAGATTATCCAAAAAATTACTAGAACAGCATGTCATTAGAGAACTGCCAGATGAGCAGGCTGGGTTTAGAAGAGGTCATGGCAATAGGGACATCATCGCCAACGTTAGATGGATGTTGGCTGAAAGCAGAGAGTATTGGGGGAATGTCTATCTGTATTTCATTGACTATACAAAGGCATTTGACTCTGTGGATCACAACAAATTGTGGCTAACCTTGAGAAGAATGAGAATCTAAGAATACTTTATTGTGCTCATGTGAAACCTATACTCAGAGTAGGAAGCATTAATTAGAACAGATCAGAGAAACACAGCATGGTTCAGGATAAGAAAAGGAGTGCATCAGGGATGCATCCTAGCTTGATATTTTATCAATCTATATGCAGAATAGATCATTAAGGAGGCTGGGCTTTATAAGGAAGAACGTGGCATCAGGCTTGGAGAAAGACTCATCAACAACCTGAGTTATGCAGATGGCAGAACTCTGCTTGCTG